GTAAAGAATTAATTTGGTCCCATAGTGTTCATTCTCCCTCTTTTCTTCTCAAAAGGATTCAATGCAGGAAACTTATTCTTCTATAAATAATGCCATGCGGCAGTTTAACGTTAATTTATTGAATTGTAACAATTAGTGCGTATACCAGGTGAACAAGTTAGCTTTGTCGTTAATTTTGGAGGGAGTCAAAATAAGTACTCGTAAGGAACTAGGTGTCTCGGTCATCTTCTCTTAAACTATAATGAGTTCTGATGGCGAAACATTTTAGGGAATGGGGCGCGGGCATGGGCATGGGGAATGGGAAAGGGCACGGGGATCAGGAATCGGGAATGAGAATCCTTACTCTATACGCTTTTTATTATTTGAGGGGCGTCGATAAATGTTTACCGGCATCAAGCATGGAAAATAAGGTATCTGTAAAGTATCTGTATCTAGATCCTTTTTGTTTTTGGTCATCTGATTAGATTATGGGAAAGGGGCGCGGAAATGGACATGGAGAATGGGATGAGATTGGAGCGCGGGCGCGGAATGGACACTGGAGATGGGATCGGGAAACCTTAGAATATAATGCGCTCCGACGGCTACACGTTTTATTAGAGATAGCGTAGTACGGGGTGGTCTAGGGGGTGGGGAATATCACCCAGTATACGGTGGTTCGTGGCACCTTTGCGACTAGTGAGAGTAACCCTACTCTTTGCTAATAGGTAATCGCTCCTCTGTTGCTGGTGGGATTCCGTGCTCCTTAGATTTCCAGGTATTGCGTTCTCGGTTGCGGTAATGATTAAGGGAAAGGGGTGCGGAAATGGACATGGAGAATGGGATGAGATTGGAGCGCGGGCGCGGAAATGGACACTGGAGATGGGATCGGGAATCCTTAGAATATAATGCGCTCCGACGGCTACACGTTTTATTTGAGATAGCGTAGTACGGGGTGGTCTAGGGGGTGGGGAATATCACCCAGTATACGGTGGTTCGTGGCACCTTTGCGACTAGTGAAGAGTACACTCTTTGCTAATAGGTAATCGCTCCTCTGTTGCTGGGGGGATTCCGTGCTCCTTAGATTTCCAGGTATTGCGTTCTCGGTTGCGGTAATGATTAAGGGAAAGGGGCGCGGAAATGGACATGGAGAATGGGATGAGATTGGAGCGCGGGCGCGGAAATGGACACTGGAGATGGGATCGGGAATCCTTAGAATATAATGCGCTCCGACGGCTACACGTTTTATTAGAGATAGCGTAGTACGGGGTGGTCTAGGGGGTGGGGAATATCACCCAGTATACGGTGGTTCGTGGCACCTTTGCGACTAGTGAAGAGTAACCCTACTCTTTGCTAATAGGTAATCGCTCCTCTGTTGCTGGGGGGATTCCGTGCTCCTTAGATTTCCAGGTATTGCTTTCTCGGTTGCGGTAAAGATTAAGGGAAAGGGGCGCGGAAATGGACATGGAGAATGGGATGAGATTGGAGCGCGGGCGCGGAAATGGACACTGGAGATGGGATCGGGAATCCTTAGAATATAATGCGCTCCGACGGCTACACGTTTTATTAGAGATAGCGTAGTACGGGGTGGTCTAGGGGGTGGGGAATATCACCCAGTATACGGTGGTTCGTGGCACCTTTGCGACTAGTGAAGAGTAACCCTACTCTTTGCTAATAGGTAATCGCTCCTCTGTTGCTGGGGGGATTCCGTGCTCCTTAGATTTCCAGGTATTGCGTTCTCGGTTGCGGTAATGATTAAGGGAAAGGGGCGCGGAAATGGACATGGAGAATGGGATGAGATTGGAGCGCGGGCGCGGAAATGGACACTGGAGATGGGATCGGGAATCCTTAGAATATAATGCGCTCCGACGGTTACACGTTTTATTAGAGATAGCGTAGTACGGGGAGGTCTAGGGGGTGGGGAATATCACCCAGTATACGGTGGTTCGTGGCACCTTTGCGACTAGTGAAGAGTAACCCTACTATTTGCTAATAGGTAATCGCTCCTCTGTTGCTGGTGGGATTCCGTGCTCCTTAGATTTCCAGGTATTGCGTTCTCGGTTGCGGTAATGATTAAGGGAAAGGGGTGCGGAAATGGACATGGAGAATGGGATGAGATTGGAGCGCGGGCGCGGAAATGGACACTGGAGATGGGATCGGGAATCCTTAGAATATAATGCGCTCCGACGGCTACACGTTTTATTAGAGATAGCGTAGTACGGGGTGGTCTAGGGGGTGGGGAATATCACCCAGTATACGGTGGTTCGTGGCACCTTTGCGACTAGTGAAGAGTAACCCTACTCTTTGCTAATAGGTAATCGCTCCTCTGTTACTGGGGAGATTCCATACTCCTCACAGTTCCCGGTACCTACTGCGTTCTCTGTCGTATTTCTTGTTATTAGGGGATACGTGACAATCCCCTCTGGTTTTTCGTTTCCTGTCTTATTTCCTCGTAGTAGGCAGGGCCGGACTGGCCCAGGCCGCTAAGCCGCCCCAGCGGCCGGGGCCTCGCGCGTCGGGGGCCCTGGAAGGGGGCCCTCGTGGAACGCGAAGCGGAAACTCCGTCGCGGGGCCCCGCTAAGCCGACAACTCAAGTATCTTGTATATTTCTGTCCTCAAATGTGTAAAGGATAGACTCAGAAGCTCTTTGGGTCAGTCAATTTTTGAAGCATTAATGTTTGTAAATGTTGAGCGTATTGTTAGTTTAAATTTGGAGAAGGATAAATTAATTGATAAATTTGCCAATACGTCATTGGAATTACAGCGCCAATACTGTTCAGCAAGTTGTTTCAAATACAATTTAAAATCTCTGCACATCCCTTGTTTTTTTTTCGGTGGAGGGGGGGGGGCATGAGTTTGGGGGCCTTTTGGTAATGGAGCGCCCGGGGCCCTTACCCACCCAGTCCGGCCCTGGTAGTAGGGCATGCATGCCAGGTTTCTCTTAAAAAAAACTATAATGAGGTCTGATGGATAAACATTTTATTTGAGATAGCGTGCAGTTGGAGAGCTAAAGCGCTACGAAAGTACTGTGAAGAAAAAATAGAACACAATAGTTTATACCTTGGTTTACAGTGACTTATCTGGTAGAATATGTTAATTTATTTTCCATACATCATGATGGTAGAAGGATTTTGGTTGTAATAATTAATAACGTTACAATTCTTGTTGTTTATTCCATATTAATCTGTAAAGAATCATGTCGGTTGCTTTCAAGTTGGGGCTATAATGTAACTGGAATTCACTTTAGTAATTCAAGTAGAAAAACAAATTAATTATTGTTACAATCAATAATATATGACTCATGTGGAACTCTTACCTCATTTTGAACTTATTTGTGTTTTCGCTCATTAGTTGTAAACACCACAAAGAAATTTTTTTTGTTGTAGTCTCCACGAACTGTTGTAATATAATCTCAGATTTAAACACTTTAAATCTGTGGTATAATCCACACAAGCACAGGCCCGTTTGGCCCTTTAAGCAAATTCAAATTTAAGCGAGCTTGCGGTTTCGCAGTACCGAGGGAGTCACCGTCCAACCACAGATAGATACAACTCTGCGCTGTACGTTTATCACATCCTCAAGGCAAGTAGGATTTCTGTGGCAGCGATACCAATGTTTGTATTTTACAATTGCTGAATAAATAGTCGTAATTTTCCTCCAATTCGATAAGACGACTTTTTAGAATGAATAACGATAAACAGCTGTTGGTAAATGCTGACGCTAACGAGGAGGTTTACAATGACTACCGCATCTCCAGTGGAAGCTCTAGATCAAGTGTAAGTTTAACCATATTGCTCCTACAGAAACTCAAATTTTTGCTTTGCTTTTGCAGCATTCCTCCAACACTCAGCCACAACCGATTACGTACCCGGTCAGTAACTCAAAACCGAGATCATTACCACAGTATGTCGCTGCTATAACAGGTACGGATAACCCTCACCACTTTCATTTCATCTTATTCTTGTACTTGCAGCATCTCTAGCTGCATTTGCATCGGGCACTGTCCTGGCATGGACCTCTTCAATTATATTAATCCTAGAAGGGGGCCACTTCAACAACATATCGATCACAAGTGACCAGATGGGTTGGATCGGCTCCTTCGTTACTTTAGGCGCTATGTGCACATCATTCCCTTTTGGAATTATCTGTGATTGTATCGGCCGAAAGGCCGCCCTACTCGCCCTCATAATTCCATTCAGTGTCGGTTGGTCGCTGATAATTTGGGCCGACTCTTTGCTAATGTTGTATTTCGGACGGTTCATTTCGGGAATGGCAGCCGGTGCCTGTTGTGTAGCCGCACCTCTCTACATAAACGAAATTGCGCACAAATCAATTCGGGGCACTTTAGGCAGTTATTTTCAGCTCATGGTAACGGTTGGCATTTTGTTCGCATACGTCGTAGGTAAGTTTGCAACTCCGATTCTATACACTGCAATTTGTGCTGCGGTGCCTTTCGTTTTCTTCTTGTTCTTCGTTTTCCAACCGGAATCCCCTCTCTACTCTTTGAAGAAGGGACAATTCGATAAGGCTTACAAAAGTCTCTCCTACTTGCGCGGGTCCGATTATAACGTGACCGATGAAATTATGACGCTGAGATTACTGGAGGAGTCACAGCAAAGTAGCCTTTCGGTTTCATACTCGTTGAAGAAAGCTGCCGGCTACAAAGCCTACATAATCGCTTTGGCTTTGATGTTTTTTCAGCAGCTGTGCGGAATTAACGCCATCATTTTCTACACTCCTGATATTTTCGCGTCGTCCGGCGCGAAAGTGGATCCACAAATTGCCACAATATGCGTCGGCGCATTCCAAGTGATCGCCACCTTTATCTCCTCGTTAATTGTCGACAAACTCGGCCGGAGGATGCTTCTAATCAGTTCTGAGGCAATCATGGCGGTTTCAACCGTTTTCCTTGGACTATTCTTCACACTGAAAGACAGGCAGATTGTCGCCGACGACATTGTTAGCGTGCTCGGATTTCTTCCGGTCGTATCTTTGGGCGTTTTCATCATCATGTTTTCAATGGGTTTGGGTCCTTTACCGTGGACAATTTGTGGCGAGATTTTTAGTTCTGATCTGAAAAGCTTCGCCATTTCTAGTGCGGTCACTCTCAACTGGTTTTTGGCATTTTTGGTAACTAAGTTTTATCTTAAGCTTGAGCTTCTGATAGGAAGCGACGTGATGTTTTATATTTTTAGCGGAATTTGTGTTATTGGCACCGTGTTTTGTTATACTTTTATACCTGAAACTAAGGGAAAGACTATTGAACAAATTCAAAAGGAACTTGAAGGCTCTTAAGGATCTCTGTACTTGTATAGGCCAACTGTTATTGTGTTTCCTATTACTAATGTTCCTAGTCAATCCCAAAAATCTCATATATTTACAAACGTACCTATCTATTATATTATATTTACAAATATATTTTTTATCATTTGTTTTACTTTCATTTGTTTATAATGGAACTTAAATATAATCCAAACTGGTAGACAAGTGAAAATTAAAGGAGTACATGTAAAAGGATGTGTCGAAGAAAAAAAAAGTACAAAAAGAATAAGGAAAAGAAGGTGAAGAATGAAAATCCTAATGAAGGATGAGTTGCACCAAATATATCTATTTTTCCACTTGTTTTTTTAATGCTCTACAAGCAACCCTCCAAATGCAAATACAAGTCACCTTTCGTGCGCTAAAAATAATAAATTAAACAAATATAGCAAACGAGCTCCTGGGTATGGCTATAGCATGTGCAAAACCAAATTTTAAACCGGATGTTAGTTTTGCTTTTATTTAAAGTGTATATGTATGAAATTTCATTTGAATGCCTCCATACATAAGCTGCGCATGCGCAAAATCAAATTTTGGATTATTCCAAGTGGTTATATACCAAATTTCATTTAAATCCCCCTATAAATCAGAAAGTTGGCACTGCGCATGCGCAAAACGAAATTTTGAAACTGGCGTAAAATTTGCTTTTATTCCAAGTGGTTATGTACCAAATTTCATTTAAATACCTTCATAAATAAGAAAGTTTGCAATTCGGTCTGTAAATGGTCGAGATGCGCAAAGGGCTCTGTGAATGGTGATCGATTAGGTTCAACTTTTGGAATTGTGTTTTATATGGCTAAAGCTATGCGCATATTGAATTTCATGCAATTCGGTTCATAACTAACGGAGATGTCAAAAGGGCCTACTTTATTTTTTGGGCTACATTGCCAATTCACGAACTCCGATCTACAAATTTGATAAAGAATCCACCTGCAAAATTTCATCGTAATCGGTCCATTCGTTTATGAGTTATCGTGCGAACGGACGGACGGACAGACACAACAAAATTATAAACCCGCTAGGAGCTCGTTAATAAAATGGAACTTGATTAAATGACAGTTTAAAAAATAATGTCTGATATTTAAAAAAATAATATTTTTATCTGTTATATAAATCAATGCGTTTTCAGACTGTTATAAATTTATTGTTTATTAATTGTAAATAAATAAAGTACGTATTTAAATTTCAAGTTACTATTCCAACAGCATTTTCCAAACGTTGTATACTTTTTTAAGGGTAGTCCTTCCCGATACTTGCAGATTGTTTTTTGTAATTTTTGAATTTAAATATTAATAGGGTAGCTTTTGCAACGACCTTCAACACAAGCCTTTTATTTAACCGTTAAATTTGCGTCAATCAAAATCATCAGACCAAAACAAAAAAAAGCAATTTGGTGCGAGAAAGAAAAAGCTTGCAATTTGTCCAAGCGTAAGGTGGATTGCCTATATACTAGGAATAGAACGGTAAATTTCTGTGTTGTGGGTTGCAAGACTGCAGGGGCTCTTGCGTCCATTCGCCTACCAAAATTCCCTTCCTCTATTATTTAATTCCGAAAAAAGCAATGATGCAAATAAATTATACATTTCCATTTACTTTACTCAATAATACAATTGCAATTTAGATCTTCTCATAGAAGCTTTAACGTTTACTAGCAAAATTTACTAAAACTAATGCGCTTCTTTTTCCTCAATAGCAGTCGTCTGATCTTCAGGCTCGTGCGGCCAGAACGTCGGTCTGTTGATAGGATCGAAAGCGGTCTCCGGATACGCATCTCTATAATCCTCCATTGTCATTTGATCGATCGGAATTAACGACGCTATGTAAGCGAGTTGCTTCTTATACCTACAAACTCGCCGAGTAAAAACCGTTCCGAGTGTAATTATCGCTTACTCTGAAATTCGTGCCGACGATTCCTGCTTGAATTTCTCAATGTCGGCGGCGGTTTCCTTTTCCAACGCGTCCAGCTCTGCCACCTTGGGATTGGGCGGGTAGGGGATTTTTAGCGCTTCGTATTGACGTTGGAAATCGTCGACCATGCCTTTGATGGGGATTCGTGTTTTGTACGTCGTCCAGTCGATGGCCGGAGCGTTTTCTGGCAGAGAGGTGACTCTAAAATTGCCGGGGGTGAGAGGGTTACATAAGTAATTGTCGAACACTCACTTTCTCAGGTAGGAGTCGGACTTGGACTTGAATTGTTGGTAAAGATGTTTTTGGGATTCGGGGACCCTTTCGGCGAGGCTCGCCCAGTTTATGGAAGATTTACCGATTCGTGCCGCTGCCATTTCAGCTCAAAACCAGTCCCTAATTTTTGGTTATGTAATTTTAGGGCAAAATGGACGATCTTTCGCAACCTGAACTTTTCAACGTTGCCATTAATGCACGAAGTTGAATACAAATGGGATTTTACAAGATTCTGTTGAGAATTTCCACGATCAAGCAACACCGCAAATTTCAAATATGTAACCAAATCAGTGCCGCCACTCACACGTGATAACCCAAAGACTCGGGGCCAACTTCAGGTAAAACATAAACATAATCTAAAATGGTAGTGTACGTGTGAGAGCTTTACGTGCTGTTGGTAAATATTGAACTTTATAAATAAAAGTGAATGAATGACCGCATAAAGTGTGAACGAAGAATTAAATTAAAGTGACCGGGATCATTTGGAGTATTAGTGGAGGAGTGATACCAGCCTGGGACTTCATAAATATTAAGGTCAGTTACTTTAGTCGTCTATTTCTACTTTTTTTTGTATAAGGCCGATTCCTAATTTTTTCATTTGTAAAGACACAAAGGGGCAGCATTTTCGCTGCCCGCCTACGTTCATGAATAATTAATAAAAGCGATTAAGCGCGTGTAGGTTTTAAATCAAGTTGGCAATAACAAAGGATAATTCGAAAATCTTTGTGCACTTTTTTTCGAAAAAAAAACTGACTGTTTATAAATAACAGGGCCGGGTTGATTGTGATAAAAAATGACTCAGTGGTATTTTGTGGTGAATAATTAGAATTAACCCCGTTTCGTTCTCGTGGGGTAATTTTGAATATTGCAAGCTGAAACGAGCGCAAATTAATACAGGGTGTTTTATGGAATTCATATGGAGAGGCGTATTCGCGACTGGTTTTAAAGGGGGCCGTAAATTAAAATTATTCTACTTTCATTACATTTTCGTGTTGCGACACGTTAAAAGTTTCACTGTTAATAAAATATTATGCACTTAACTGGAAACGTCCATTAAAAATGGCACGTTTCCTGTTTTTAGTGATGTATGGAATTGCTACAGGTTTTTGTGCGTTCATTTAATGCATTATGTAAGAATTTTTATATTTAATATAATGGAATTTATTGCTATAACGGATTAAAAATGATGTACCAGTTTGTTACGCAACTGCAACAAAAATTCATGTGCATTTGCCGGTAGGTATTCCCAGTATCAAAATTGGTACCTAAACGTTTAACCGGAACTTGCGTGTGATTTAGAAATCGGAAGAGGTGACATCCAGCGGAAAACCATTAACCGTAATTAATAGAAATTTGTCTCAAAAGTACTAATTAAGTTTTAAGAAATAACCATCCATCTATTTGAATTGGACGCGCTTCGTTTGGAGTTTTGATTCGTCCATGCTTTGTCGAGGGCTTCTTATGAGCCAATCACTCGCTAGCTAGATATTTAGTAGGAAATATGTGGAAAATCTAGAAGGTTTTGGAAACTGTAAATCTCTTTCTTTTCGTTGACCCTTGGTATTGATCGAATAAAAAAAGGCTTGGAGAATGTTTTGGAAATATTTGGAATCGTCAAATGTTGAGGAAATTTTGGAAAGGTTTTAGAAATGTTTTAAAATATATTGGGTTGGGAATGTTTTGAAAATGTGGAGAAATTTTGTATATATTTCGGAAAAATGTAGGAAATTTTGGTAAAAAAAATTTAAAATTTTCGAAAGGTTTTGAAACGTGAAATCTTTTTATGTTTATCGGAAACGCGTAGGAAATTTTTGGAAGATTTTAGAATGTTTAAACAATGCTTGATGTGCTGAGTAAATTTTGGAGATGTGTTGAAAATGTGTAGCAAATTCTGCAAATTTCTAAAAAAATGTTTTAATTGTACCGGAAATTTTGGAAATATTTCGTCAAGGCATAGGGGGTTCATTTTTCATTTCATTTCATTTCATTCCGGATATTAGAAATAATTGAGGGTGTTAAATGGATTACAAATTTTGGCAAATGTATAGGAAATTTTGGAAATGTTTTCCCGTTCATTTACAAATTCTATTGTACAGGGTGGTTCAAATTCATCACTTCCGATTGGGATCTCAGTAACGGTGTGAGATAGGGCAAAGCTTTCCCTTTTTGTAACTAAAAAAACGCTTTTGGAAATTTGGAAAAATCTTTGGGAATAACTGAAAAATCACCGAAACACTGAAAATGTCAAATTTCCATAACATGCTAGATGTAGAAGTTACAGGCTACTACTTTCTTATTTCTTATGGGTGCCATATGAGAGTTTTTCGGAATACATTTGACATTTTCAGTTTTTCGGTGATATCTCAGTTATTTTCAGAGATTTTTCAAAAATAAAAATTGTTTTTAGTCACAAAAAGGGCCAACTTAATTCTGAAACAAATCCCCATTCTCCCGTTAAATAAGGTCTAACTGGACATTTTCATTTCTTCGTTACACTGTCACACATTGTTTCAACATTACGACCTATAATTTTGCAGTTTTATGCTCTCAAGATGTTCACTTGAAGACCTCGCATCCTGTTCTTTAGACTTTATCGTCTCATTAAATGAGTTCATCTCGAATGGTTTTACGTAATCGAAAATTGAGGTAATTAATGCGTCATCGATCTACAGGGTGTCGACGTGCAAATCGGTCGGCCGTCGCGAAATGCACCCGCCCACAGTTTTTTTTTGTCTTAATCTTTAAACACAATTGCCGTTGATTATGCTAATTTACAGTTCAATCTCGTTAAACAAGTTTCGTTTTACTATACGGCAGTAACGCCGCGATCGGTTCGAAGTTTGAATTTTCGCTCCGACGCGGTTTTTCGAATAAGGTTTCGAGAATCGCAATTAATTATTTCTGTACACTCGTTAAGTATCTTCCTAAGTGTTATTCTATGAATGCAGGTTAGTTGGCATCGGTCACGTTTAAATTACTCGCGTCTAAAAGTGTACCGGTGTTGGGTTTCGTGTTTCATCATCAAGGGTAAGTTGTGTACGAATTTCCAAATTTGTACTTAGCCCCGATGATTCAAATGTGTTCCAGTGGGTCACATTATAAGCGCAAGTGGATATTTTACAATCGATCATAAAACTTTTTTTTTAATCCTCAGGTATACACCAATAAATAACTTACTCAATCCGTAATTTTACCAATTTAAAATTTGTTACCTTTTGGTAGCCTCTCTGGGACCAAAACAAATATGCGTTTCAAGTAAAGCAAGAATTGCATTTCTTTTTAAATTTGTTTCTAGAGATTCTGTAAAGGGAGCACTTGAATGGAGTTTTTTTCGAATAGTTCAGGTGTATACGTGGTGTTTTCTTTTCGGGTATGAAGCGATAGCAGCATTCGATTTTCGGCTACAAAGTCATGGAAGTGGTTCGTAATAAAATTTGTAGGGTCATTTTTTACCTGAATGTTACGCGTCGACAATGAGTGAAGTATCGGAAACAAACTAATTACGGTCTGATCTGACTTAAGCCAAAGACACGTTTTGTCAATCATTCTCATCAGTAGCAGTTGCTGATAAATTTTATTGTGAAAGCGAAAGTTACTGACGGTAGACATCAAACTTACACGCCAGATACAATACAGCAGGAGTGCCAATCTCAAAAATAATCCTAAAAACATCAATGTGAGTCCTCCTGAAGATCCAGGTTCCACTATCTATTATCCATTTTCCTCTAGAGGAAGTGTCGCACAAACCATCGTGTTCAGATAGTGCTATATGTAAGGTATTGTAATTTTGTTCTTGATTTGTATAAAAAATAACGATCGGTTCTCTTTAAGAAATCGCGTAAATAATATTTTATTAAAAGCATTTAATAGAAAACAAGTATAAATTGTGCACAACTCTTGTGCAGATAAAGCGCATTTTTTTAAAAACCGAAATAGCTTTTGTTTTGACATCACCAATGGACATATTTCTTGCAGACGTCTCAATCGCCCCTTGTGGGTACCCTCTTCCGACAATCCGTTCTTGAGGTATAAGGGAATACCCCCCCCCCCCCATTCTCTAAAGTTTAACATAGCACCACTAAAGGCATGCGTATGCAAAATCTGAGACCAATTAGTTGTCGTGTGTAAAAGCTATGCATATTTTACTTTCAAAAACAACATGTCAGGAAATAATTCGAGGAGGGGGGGGGGGCTTTTAGACAGCGAAATTTGATGGCCGTTGGCACACCTTTAAGTTATAGCCTACCTACTGCAAAAAAATCCGGACGGACGGACAAAACGCAAACAATAGCACATTTTTTAATTCTTAAAAAAATGCGGCCACCGGTTTCGTATAGAAATTGTCAACATTTAATTCTGGAGCTCTATCTTTCGTTTAGGTATCCCCAAACATTCAAAATTCTGTAATTTTGTTCTCAGCAACCCTGACACAAGAATGAAATCCACGGCATTGCCTAGGTTTTTGAGTTATTAAATGTCGAGTTAAATGTACTACGAGAAATTTTGGAGAAACACAAGCTCTGGAGAAATAAGGAAGACATTTTAATTTTAGAAAAATATGTGAGGGTAGCTCAAAACTTTTTAGAACTGTTGGGATTTGAAGGCATTGCATACCATAGGAAATTACAGGTTGTAGAAATCGGAAGATTGATTTTTCTCCATAAATTAATCGATTAGTGAAATGGAATTCTTAAAACCGTGGTACAAATGACGCCAATCTTTGGCTGCGTCGTTTGATTTCAATAGCGCTTTGTTTCTTAATGTATTTCGGAAGCTTCGAAGACTACCCTGTTCAGTCTTAATTTGATTTATTTGATTCATAGCGCGAAATTTAAGCAACGAATTTACCTCGGAATTTGCCGAGGGGGTAATACATGAGCAAAATGTTGTACGAAAGACTACCAGTTGCCAAAGACTACAAGAGACTACTCCATGAATACCACAGACTACCACATGAATACCAGTGACTACTCCAGACTACCACACAGGTGGCAGCGAGATAATTGCGGTCTGCGACCGATGTTGGGCAAGATCCTTTAATTCTAGATCTAGATCCAGATCAAAGATCCGCACCTAGATCAAGATCGTCCTAAAATGATCTAGATCCTTTATAGATCCTCCATAGGTAAATCCGAGGGTAAATCTAATTTACATGGGTGGATTTGATTCCTTATTCGGAAAATGCTTAGGTACTTATCTCATTCTGTGTAACCCCTTCTTGTTTTACTTTTATCTATGCAAAATTCGCAAAACAGCAAGAAAAATGATGCGAAAAAGTCCTTCTTTGAAAATTATAATAACCGCCTACATCTGAATTACTACTTAAGGCAAAGTGGTGTGCTTACCTACATAACAATAACGTGTTTTTCGGATAATTCGGGTAGACCTGGCGGCGGCATGCCCATGAATCAGTTGTACAGGGTGAGTCAACGATTGCGCGGAGTAACTTAATGCCTTGAAGATAAGACTTTTCGATAGAGCCTTTTGTATTATATGTTTGAATATTCTCCACATTTTAAAAATATTTGGAATTATACAGGGTGCGCCCACAAAGTAGGGCGCCCAAATGGTACATTTTTTAAATAGAACCCCCTGTATTTGAATGCATTTTTGAATTCTACGTGTCTTTTTTATTACATGGTTCATATCCGAAAAACTAGTAGTTTTAAAGATAATTAGATTTGTAAGAAAAATTGGGCATTTGCAAGCGTCAGTATATTGTCAAAATTATTACTTAAATTTTGATTCCAAGTTTTGTATCTTTTATCCTGGGTTAAGTAAAAGTCAAATAAATACATCTACTATAAAACATTAAAAAAATAGCTTACAGGGTGTTTTTTTCTAGGTCCAAAGTTACAAAACATATTAAAAAATCTCACTTTTTTTAAATGGAACACCCTGTATATTTTTCTGTCATCATTTCGCTCATCCAGAAATCTTATATCTTGATAATAATGTCCTATACCTATCTCTGATAGTTGTCGAAATATCTTGGTTTTCCTGGTTTTTATATTCTAATCTTAAATAAGTTATATGTAATTTACATAATAGTGAGGTGGCCATGCAAAAAAAAGGTAATTTTTATCTGCCTCGTTCAAAGCTAAAATCATATTTATTAATTCATTTTTCTAATAATTCATTTACCTAAGTCTATAAAAATTGGAGAATAAATTTGATAGTAAAAACATAAACAAATATCTTGGTTTTTCTACTTTTTACATTTTAATCTGAAATAAGTTCTAATTTACATAATAACGAGGTGAATATGAAAAAAAATGAAACTAATATCACTGACTGGATGACATTAGGAGTTAAATTAAATTTGCTTTATAGTTAAATGTTTTTACTTATTCTCCAGTTTTTTGACCAAAATAAATTGTTTGAAAAATAAATTAATCGATATGATTTTCGTTTTGGACGAGATAGATAAAAATTGCCTTTTTTTGCATGTCAACCTCACTATTATGTAAATTACATATAACTTATTTAAGATTAGAATATAAAACCCAGGAAAACCAAGATATTTCGAAAACTATCAGAGATAGGCATAGGACATTATTATCAAAAGTTGAAGGTTTTTCGGGGATCTAAATGATGACAGAGAAATATACAGGGTGTTCCAGTTAAAAAAGTGAGATTTTTTAATATGAAGTTTTGCAACTTTGGACCTACCAAAAAAAAACACCCTGTAAGCCTATATTTTATATGTTTCATAGTAGATGTATTTATTTGACTTTTACTTAACCCGGGATAAAAGATATAAAACCTGGAATCAAAATTTAAGTAATAATTTAATAACAATATACTAAGGCTTGCAAATACCCAATTTTTCTTAAAAATCGAATTATCTTTAAAACTACTAGATTTTCGGATATTAACCATATAATAAAAAAGATGTACAATTACACGTAGAATTCAAAAATGTATTCAAATACAGAGGGTTCTATTTAAAAAAATGTACCATTTGGGCGCCCTACTTTGTGGGCGCACCGAGGGGCGCACCCTGTATAATTCCAAATATTTTTAAAATGTGGAAAATATTCAACCACATCATAATACAAAAGCACTCTATCGAAAAATCTTATCTTCAAAGCATTAAGTTACTCCGCGCAATCGTTGACTCACCCTGTACTGTAAACAATTACCGATACTACCCCCTAAGCTAAACCACCCGTTGTGCTAATGACTATTCCCACTAAATCCCAAAAACTTGAATGGAACACAGTATTTTATTCTTTAAATATAGACAACGATTTACTCCTCCAATGTTAAAAACATTTATAACGTAAATAATTAAAATTGATCTTTGGATCTACTAGTGGAAGATCTATTATAATATAATCTAGATCTAGATACAAGATCATCTTCTAAAAAGGGTCTAGATCCAGATCTAAGATATATGTGATTATCATGGAAACCTTGGCCTCGACCTAGGTATGTTTTTAAACACACAACACAAATACATGATTACTGATTGAATCGCTACCATCTTTAAAACTGAATCGTCACCTTCAATAACCAGCACTGCAACAATCAATCGAATTAATTTAAAAAGTATGCGATTTGATAGACAAAATCACAAAAACCATAGTTTATGCCCGAAATACCTACATACAAGCAAAATGGAAAATAATAAAAAAGATTAGTAAATGCTCATAGGAATACCAAAAACTACCACCAGAAAACCAGCGATTACCACTGACTACCATAGGAATACCACAGATTACCATTGACTACCACGGGAATACCAGAGAATACCACGGGAATACCAGTGACTACCAGTCATGTGTACGAAAGATTACCACACCGACTAACCCCTCGGAATTTGCAATTAAAAATGTCCGACTTCGCATTAATTCAGTAAGAACAGGAAGGGACTTGAGTGCATTCGGTCTGAAAGAATATTTTATCGTAGGGTCGATTATCGCGAAACAAGTTTTTTAATGTCTACTAGTAATAAATTGGCAATAAGGGGTGGCACATCAAAAATCAAGATGGAACACCCTGTACACTGGAGTTTACGTTTACTTCTCGTACCACGTGGTCCAATTTGCACTAAATTTGCAGTTTGTAACCTCGTTACGTGATGGAAAATGTAAATGTGATATATGTTTACATAACCGTAATGTACCTAGTCAAAGGTTATCAATTTCCCATGTTTTTGTTTATGAAACGAACGCATAGAATTCTCGTCATTCGTTAACTATGGCTCCCATTTTATACTCGATAAAAGCAAGTCCGGCGGTACGAAGTGTTTTAATTGCGGCAAAGTTTCTGAATTTACCCCTAGAGGTACGCGAACTCGACTACTTTGCGGGAGAGCACTTAAAGCCGGAATTCCTCCAGGTAAATAGCATACTCGTCTATTTTGGCCGTTAAACAAATTGCAGTTAAATCCTCTGCACACCGTTCCAACGTTGGACGATGGCGGCGAGGTGATTTGCGATAGTCACGCGATTACCCCTTACCTCCTGGGTAAATATGGAAGAGACGACTCGCTCTACCCCGAAGATTTGTACCGACGCGCCTTGGTCGATCAAAAAATGGCGTTCGACCTAGGCACCATTTACCCCACACTGGGAGCCGTTGACGTATGTACACTAACCGAAATTCATTAATTCAACCTGGCTTTCAGTTACCTTACATACGGGGCGAGATCAAATCGCTCCCTCCAAAGTTGGCCAAACAAATCGAGCGGGTTTTCGACTTTTTGGAAGCGTTCTTGAAGAATTCCGATTGGATCGCGCTTAGCACTTTCAGTCTTGCGGATATTCATTGCTACACGTCGATTTCTTCATTAAATTTTCATCTGAAATTGGCCGAGAACGCCTGGCCCCACAGCTATCGGTGGATGAGGCGTTGCCAGAGTTTGCCAATTTTCAGTGACGACGCTGAAGCACTGAAAACGTTTGAGGAACTTTTTCGGAGTTTCCAATCGTGTAGTAATTTGTAATTACACTCACGTGAAAACATTGAATTTAAATATTATCTTGCACGCAACCGGGTATTCTCTGCGTTTTTAGCGCATTTTTTTAAAAATTTTGCAAATTTCGCTACCATGAATTATTTCCTGAGTGCTGTTTTTGAAAATAAAACGTGCATAACTTTTACAACGAATTGGTCTCAGATTTTGCATACGCATGCCTTTAGTGGTTCCAAGTTAAACTTTTGAAAATGCGAGGGGGGGGGGGGGTTAAACACAGGTTCTACCCTTCATGGTATTTTAATGAAAGGTCTCATTAAGATCAATTGGTTTGTACAAACCTAAACTATAACTTTCCCGCGCGACTGTTTTTCAAGAGCAGTGTGTGACGAGACCAAAGGGGGGGGGCAGACACTATTTCTATCTTTCATGGTATTCTAATTAAAGGTTTCAACAAAAGGAATTAATTTCTACCAACCATAGCCTCCTCCTCGACCCCTTATCGTAATCGGAACCAGAACGAATTGTTGAAAGAGGGTACTCGCAAAAGGCGATTGAGACGTCTGAAAGAAATATATCCATTGGTGAATTGAAAACTTTAAGAACGAATATCTCGAAAACAGTTTTTAGGGGTACTGTCAGTACTCTCACAGGCAAAATGAATCGTCGAAGCTCTCAGTACAATGCAAAATGGAGTGTCGGAGGATTTTGAATGTATGTTTATGTGTAAAGAGCCTCCTCCCCTTATAACCCAACCATTTGTTGAAGGTACGGCCCTGGCATATTTCTGTAAGAAAACATCAAATTGATAACGTTGGAATTTTATTTGTGAAACATCCTGTACTATGTTTTGTAAAATCCCCTCGTTAGATGTCGCCTGTTGTCGTCCCCATCCTTTATTTGCAATCACTTCTACATCTCCCACCTTGTTGTGTGTCCTATAAAAGGTGTTTGTAAAGTACCAGAGAGCACTTCCGATTAATTCCGTTCCATGTTAAAATCATTCCCCGAACCAGAACCAGACCCGATTCCTGCCCGTTTCGAAAACCTGAGATCCGTTTTAAGTTTATTTTATTTTCCGTTTTAATTCCACCAGAGCTTTTCGTTTTAGTTTCATTATTTTCCTAGACCTATTAATTTGATAATTACTTTTAGTTTTGCCGTTTTACTCACCTGTTCCCGGGAAGATAATCCTGGTAGGGTAAATCCCTGCGGGCTTATAAAACCGGACACAGAACTAGTTCTTTGTATTCTTGCCTTCGGTCGGTCGACCGGACTGGAATCCAAAGAGCTTCCCTTCCGTGTTTGCCGTCTGATTCCACCGACTTTGAGTAGAGGTTGTTGGAACCGGGTGGAAGTTCCTCTGTAAGGGCCGTCGCCAGGTAAATCCTTGCCGACCTTATTCGAGAGCTATTACCTCCTGTTCAAGTCATCTCAGGTCGGGTTATTGCTTTGCTGAAAAGCACCTGAAATATAACTGGTGGAGAAAACTACCTATACTTCCTTTACCTGATATCTCCTCGAGCCTTGATAAGCATCCGGGCTTAGGTGGTAATAACTCTTTATCATTACAGCGAACTAGTAGCACTTGCCACATCCACCGCACGTGCCCAGTTGGGGAAAAGAAAAGCCTACCAGACCCAAGGTCAACCGGGGATTTGACAGACGGTGCTTTGCTGAAAAGCACCTGAAATATAACTGGTGGAGAAAACTTTTTTTATTTATTTATTTTATTAATTAAACAATTGCAATCAATACGAATTTCGATCTCTGGCCAGCCGGCTGGAGCTACCCGAAGGCAAAACCCCGTTCTGTTTACATTTCCATCTTGTGAAGTGACGCTAAAATAATCGATGCATCTCTCATAATTCATCTAAACAAGAGCGTTACCGCGTAACGACCGCAAACAAACGTTTATACACTCCGCAACTCAACCTCATTAGACTCGGAAATTAATTGAGATTTATTACGACGTAAATGTAATTACCTTCTCCAATATATCAAATCAATATAGAAATTTTCCGTAATAATTAACAGCGAAATTCGTTTTCTCTTCGTATACTTTTGTTTTCCTTTAATTAATAAAGGAAATTGGTCCAGAAATGAACGATAAATGTAACATGATTATAATTAAATGTGTAACGGCGCCGCGATCTGGAATTTTGTTTGTTGGTAGAAGAAATGTGTTTGCTGAAACTTTTTCATTTCGCTTACGGTGTCGTGTTTGTAAATACTTTCCCCGGGTCTTGTTTCAAACTAAAAGATCCTTAGCCCAGTTTCAAGAGCAGGTTTGCGAGATATCGCGACAAAAACTGAGACTGGCAACAGGTCAAACCTATAAAAATTGTAAAATCGCCCAAAGGTGTTTCCATTTTAGGATTAGTAGAATTACACTGAAGAAATTCATATGTTAATAATGGTAGATAATTAAAATAAAAACTCTCCCATGACTGTGATATCCCCAGCTCGAATCCATAACTTTTCTTGTGTCGTTCTGGTCACAACGAAACGCCAAAAATAATGACGGGCCACCTTGTAGGTGGTATTGTTTCAATTTATTAAGTCTAAATCTGAGGGGTTATCTACGAATAAGCACAAGGTTGATTTATTTTACTTGAATTTGTTATCTCGGCGTCTATTTTTCGTTTCAAAATTGTTTGTTTAGATTTGTGTATCTAAACACGTGAAATTGCGTATTGAAATGTAAGACACATCTGATCGTTTGCGATAAGAAGTTTTATTATCGGACGAAATTTAATTAACGCACGTGTTGTAGAAACGCGGCGGCTGCTGCTATTAGTTCTCGCGACGACGATATCATCTCTTTAAGGTAAATTACGGGTAGTGAGCTCGATTTGTTTTATTGAAGACGCAGTTCGTCATTTTTTTAATAATAAATCTGTGCAGGAGCAAGTTAGGTAACCAAAGAAGTTCAGCGCGTGTTGTCAGTCGACAGTTCTTGTCGAGTTGGTGAAGGAAGCGTTGGAATACAGTGAGTTTCTACCGTCCGAACAGCCACCGAACATTTTCTAAATCTTATTTGTCAAGCCAGAGTCAGTTTTCTGAAGTTTCCTGAAACTGTCAGCGGGTGTTTTTATGCCTCTGATAAGTGCGCCTGAATTATCGCAAAGTTCATTACCAGATTAATTGGATTATTTGAAAAAATAAACTAAGTAATTTCGTATTTTCTTTTTATATATTATGTCCAAATAAGTTTTTCTTTCTTACGGGAATTTTGTTTTCATTTTTTAAACAGCCCATAATAATCTCCTGTTCTGTCGCTATATAGTCTAGGCAATAGAGACTGTAAAATTGGCAAACTGGACATTTTGAGGTGGAAAAGAAAAAAATGGTGGAATATGTTCAGTTAGGTGTCAAAAACAACATATTAAAAATCCCACCCTCCAGACCCTGTGCTAAAGGCTCCAGCCACCCCACCATCCCCAAAAACCGTGTTTTCGCTCTTTTTGGCTGATATCTCGCGATCTATGAGGTCTATATGAAATATTTTTAGCTGAAACTATTTCTCGGGAAATTTCATACAAGGTAGGTACTCAGAAGTTAGCCTAGGTGTACCTCTTAGCCTAGGAAATTCATAAAAGCGGCGAAAATCATCAATTTTCGTGGCTTTTTGCAAATATATCGCGACCTTTAGGGCTAGATGAAATATTTTTAGCTGAAAATGCTCGTGCAATTTCGTACGAGATAGGTAACTGAAGAGTTGGCGTAAAGTCACCTTTCACCTTCAACTTTCATGTGTGAGGAAATATTCATTGTAAAACAAAGTATTTCTATGTACCATTTATTCACGTAAAAACAGTATTTTCATATTAAAATATTCACACATTCATTTATACCTCAACGTAATCATTACCCTTATACTTATCCAAATCAATTCGTACTTTTTCGATCAGACTTCTTAATCAAAAGTTATAGACTAGAAACCAATTTGAAAAAAAATTCAAAGGGCTGTAACTTTTGAACTAGTAGCTCAATCTTGGAACTGTTTGAAATTATGGATTCTACAGGCCACATTCTATAAGAAAATTTTTTTTCCGGGTCGATCTGAGACAATTTTTTTTTCGGGGCTCAAAAAAAGGCAGTGTATAACCTTCCTTTTTTACCAAAAATCGACTGCACCAAAATTTCTCGGGAAAACACTTTTTCTTATTAATTTTGGTGCGTAGAATCCAAATCAATTCGTACTTTTTCGATCAGACTTCTCAATCAAAAGTTATAGACTAGAAACCAATTTGAAAAAAAATTCAAAGGGCTGTAACTTTTGAACTAGTAGCCCAATCTTGGAACTGTTTGAAATTATGGATTCTACAGGCCACATTCTATAAGAAAATTTTTTTTCCGGGTCGATCTGAGACAATTTTTTTTCGGGGCTCAAAAAAAGGCAGTGTATAACCTTCCTTTTTTACCAAAAATCGACTGCACCAAAATTTCTCGGGAAAACACTTTTCTTATTAATTTTGGTGCGTAGAATCCAAAACAATTCGTACTTTTTCGATCAGACTTCTCAATCAAAAGTTATAGACTAGAAACCAATTTCGAAAAAAATTCAAAGGGCTGTAACTTTTGAACTAGTAGCCCAATCTTGGAACTGTTTGAAATTATGGATTCTACAGGCCACATTCTTTACAATACTCGAATACACGAAATGCTTCACATTTTTCTCATGTAATGACTTTGTAATTCCTTTATAATGGAGGTTGAATGTGGACACTTTTCTCATTTTAGCTTCGTTTGTCACACTCGCACTATTATTCAATTCTCAACCCGCTCTGAATGTAACACTTTCAGGCTGAAAGCAGAACTTGAGTCAAGTTTTCCATTTGCCACCCTGTATATAGTTTTTTTAACCGATCCAGTCTCCACTTTTGGAGTGGATTGAGCGAATACTTCCAACTGATGGCTAACTTTTTTAGTACACACGGACCTGAAACTTTCACGTTTGAATTATGCAAATTCATCACGTTCGAAATAAATTTCGTTTAACTCGGGTACAAAGGCGTTAGTAATTATTTTAGTAATTAGTTTT